GCACAGCCCCTGACCCCTCTCTCCTGGCGCAGGGGGACATCGGGGGTCCCCTGGTGTGCAAGGACAACGGCGGTGACTACTTCTGGCTGGTGGGACTGGCCAGCTGGGGCAAGGGCTGCGCCGGAGAGAAACGGCCCGGGGTGTTCACCTCCACCCAGCACTTCCACACCTGGATCCAGGTGCAGATGGGAATGGTCCCGCCGGATACGGAGGCTCCACCGCCCAAGCCAGAGCCACCCACCCCCACCATTGAGGAAGAGCCAGAAGAACCCGAAGAAGAACTGGAACCAGAGCCTGAGCCAGAACCAGAATCAGGACCCCATCCGGTACCGATACCGGTACCGATACCAGAACCGGAACCCATACCAGAACCAGAGCCAGAAGATGATGAAGATGAAGAAGAACCAGAACCGGAGACGTTTATAACAATTTCATTCCCCAAATCCATCCTGCTGAGGTTATTCACGAATCTGCTGGAGTTCCTGGAGTTCCTGCGGGACAAACTGGATTGAGCAGGAGGGGGAGCAGATCCAGGGCTGGCTGCAGGGGGGCACAGCCATTCCCTGCTGGAGCCGTGGCTGTGCCAAAGCCACCCGCGGTGCCCAGGTCTGCTCTGTCCTGCTCATTATCCCCCTTCCGCCCACCCTGGAGATGAGCTTCAGTTTGTTCTCGAAATAGAGTTGTTCCCAATTATCCTCATTGTCAGTCCAGTCCAGTCTTGTGTGCGCAACGAGGGTGGGACAATCCCGGGGAAAAAGGGTGGGGTTGGCTCCTGGTTTGGGGGGATGAGGGGAGGATGAGCCTGGGTGTAACTGATGGTTCTCCAGCAGCTTCTGAGGGACTCCTGGGGTCAAAACTCCCACCCTGAGGGGTCATCCCTGCTCATGGGCCACCAGGAACTCAAGGGTGCAGCAGAACAACCTTCAGGGATTCCAGAAATACCCAATAACTCACGGGGTTCCTTCACCCCTTCGTGAAATTCCTCACCCTGGGGGAGGTTCTGGACATTCCTGCCTGGATTTAGGGGATGTCATCTCAAGGTTTGGGGATTTGGGACACAGCCACCACCACGGGACCTCTGCAGGAGAACCAGACCAGCAGGACCACTTCAACAGCGCTGCCACCACTGCTGGTCCTGACTGTGCCACTCACGGGATGTCACTTGTGCCCTGACTTTGTGGTTTTAATCCAATTTTTCTGAATTCCGTGCATTTATTGGATCCTTCCCCTCAAATTTCAACTCTGACTTGCAAACCTCCTTCACGGTGCGTGGGGTCTGTGGGGGGTGAGTTCCTCCTGGGGGCTTTGCTCCAAAGCAGCACAGCCTGGAGGTGACAGAGGAACTTCTCCAGCCCAGGCTGCCCCAGCAGAGCCTCAGCTGTGCCAGGACTGGGACAAGCCCTGGAGAGGGACAGGACTGGGCATGTGGGACCCAGATTCAGCCAAAGGAAGAAACTGGGAGTTTCTAGCAGGCAAAGGCCTGGGAAAGAATGTAAATAATTCTTTATCTCTCTTGTTTTTGCATTGTTTATAGTGAATTTCTATCATTGTGTGTCAAGCACTTTGCACCAATGCTTTGGGTTGTTTTCATTTCAGAACCAATGGAGTTGGTCCTCACAAAGCTCTGTATAAAGAGCAGTGTATTTTGAATAAATCGGAGTTTTACTCTCACAGCTTTCTGGTCAGAGTCTTCTCATTCCCGTCCTGCCTTGACAACAACACGGGCACAGCTGGAGCTGCCATCTGGAGCCCTGTGGAGGTGCTGGAGGTGCCACCCTGAGCTGCTGCTGCCACCCAGGGCTGTCCCCTCTGTCACCAGCTCGTGTCTCTGACCCCTCGTCCCACTGCCCCTGCTGTGCCCTGGGTCCCAGGTGGGATCCCCGGATCCGGGACATTCCCTCTGCTCCAGCGGGATCCCCAAACCCTCCCGGGCTCTGCCACTGCCCCCACACCACCCGCAGCCACGGCGCCCTGCACACGGAACCGACCGTCTGTGACATCAGCCCGGCCTGGTGGCACCGTGGGCACTGCCAGGGCCGCGGGTGGCACCAGAGGTGACAGTTCTGCTCCGCCTCTGCCACCTGCAGCGATGGCTTTGCTGGGGCTGCTCGTCCTGCTGGCCCTGGCCGGGCCCGTGTGG